TCTGCATTTTGATTCTTAATTGAGGATAAATGTAGATGTCATGGGTCACAGTATTCACTTACCATAAGGTGGACTGTGTGCCACTTTTTACTCTATGCTATAAAAAAAATATTGCACTGTATCTACAGCGTAGTTCTACCACAATAATGATGGTGAGTATATGAATTTCCTTCATTAAAAAAATTGTTGCGATATTCTAAACTAATTGCATTGTTAATTTTATCAGTTTACTCTATAGTCTATATAGGTAATTAGACCTACACATAGAAAATTGTAAAAACAGTAAAGAGATGGAGTGTTGAAAATTTAAACGAGTAAAATAGACATAAATGAAGGTGATTTAGGTAATGAACAATGCTGAGTCCAAAGTCCACGAGGTAAGTCGATTGGTGCGTGAACGTGTCTTGATTTTTGACGATAGTTTCACTGCACTTAGCAACCGCTAGAAACTATTATGAGAAATATGAAACAAACTTTTTTATTACGTAAAGTTTATCAAAACTATACTAAAAGTTATAAAATGTTATCTAAACAAGCTAAAATAAAGTCAATAAGTCAAGTTTTGCGAAAAAGTTATTGTAAACAAAGGGTTGTTTTAAAAAGTAAGTAAGGTTTCATTACATAGTTAAGCTAATAAACTAATATTACAACTTACTTTTTCAAGACAGTCCTGTCCAATTGCGTTTGGGTCCACTTTGACTTCCAAAATCACAGAATTCGGCTGACTGACTAACCACATTTTGTAACACTAAATTAAAATTCCGTAAAAAAATGGGAAATATTTAGGTCGGAACTTTATTATATTTCTTAAAAACTTACGAGTTTACACTTATATTTCAATGTTTATCTCACTCGCGTGAAAAATTTATTTAAAAATGTCTTTCGTAATTCGCTCTGGGAAATGTTTATCGCGTATTCTTTGTGGAAGTAAAACTGTGAATACTTCCATACGACGGCCATACTACATTAAGTTTGCCTCCGAAATGATAAAGAAATAATGACGTACGTGACGTAGCGAACAGCGACGACTCACTCCTCTGGCGGTTTTTAACCATAAAGATTTAAAGATGCAATTTGTATCTGTTTGTTAGCCAATGCTCAGTAGTAATGATATATTTAAACTTACACGTATAACAACGAAGCAATGTAAAACGCGTATCAATTAATTATAGTGACGTGGAAGAGTCGTCGCTGGGTAACAATTGGATGTTTCTATTTCATATCAAAGCTTAAATTCGAAAGAGACAGACTTATTCATGACCTTTAATGCAGAGCACACATTATAAAAATAGAAGTAATATTATAATTATTTCATTTTTACCAACTAACTTATGTTTAAGCTACCACTAATACAACAACTAACATAGTATATAAGTAGTCTTACTAATTAAAAAGTATAACAAAAATGATACAAAAATAAAAAAACTAGAAGATAATATTTTAGGACTTTCTAAACATTGAAGAGGGAATATGAGCATATGGCTGTTCCATATAATTATATTTCTATGGGCTGTCCTTTAATAGTAAAAAAACCAAAGCAGTTGGACATAGGAGTTTCCTTTCCTTTAATTTCTAAAAGGGTTCTTGGAAATAATCAGCCGCTGCGGTCTCGTTCAATGCCCTAAAGTAATTTATACTTTGTGTCCTCGAAATATGTACTATTTCAATTAAAATCAAAATAGCTGATCTTAACTTGAGATAAGTTAAGAGCCAGCATTTTATAATAAGGCGTACGTGAAGAAATAGCTTATGCTTTGATTATATACATGTATATAATTAAAGAGCTTATGTTTAGAGAAACTTATCGTCACAACGTTCGTATCATTGTTACTGGTAAAAACTGGCCTTTTTTCACTTTGATTAGTGATTAGTGCAGGTGCTTAGTGATTAGGAGTAAGCACGTGTGGACAGCGATTGATTAGTGCAAATGATTAGTAAAGTGATTACAAGTAATTATTTTATGCAACTGGACTGTGGGTATACATCCCCGGCGTGCTCTTCCTTCTTAAGTATTTAGCGTTTAGCGTCGGATGCTCGCTTGTGTTGCAAAAAAATGGCAAAGTGGACCGAAGACAGGTTATAGGTTAATAAATTTGTGCAGGAGTACTAAAACATTAATGTCTTTACAATAGTAAACACCCTAACAGCAAAATTAAAGGAGCCTGAGATGCGGCATTTCTACTTATAAGTGAAGCTATGAACATATCGGGGTTTGAAGTTTATACTAAAATAAGAAACTTGAGGTCTACATATTCGCGTCCATACTTGCTGGTCGACGGCTAAGAACTGAATTTACTAAGCACACCCACTAAACAGAATTGGACACTACTTACACTACACACCTGCACTAATCACCCGCAATTACTAATCACTTGCACTCGCACTAATCAAAGTGAAAACAGGCCTTATGGAAGTATACATATCAGTAGTACGTACCTATCAGTTGTTAGTAAATGTAAATGTAAACCAAGTAACGTCAGTAGACTGTACTCCTTATTAGTTTGTGATAATAGCCAAATTGTTTAACTAACCTTAATGATAACTTGTATGTAACATTAAATGAGAAAATAATTATAATGGAATCGGTAATCAACTAGTTTTTTTTTTTTTGAAAACGGTTAATGTAAAAATATTTTTAATAGAATATAAAATCGATTTCAAGGAATTAATAATGTATAATAATAATAATACCTTATTATATTTTAAATAAATTATATATAAATTTAACAATTTTGTTATTTTACATGTTAATTTTAATAATTTAATCATATCTATACAAATAAATAAAATTGAAGTGTCTGTTTGTAATGTAAAAATAACAGCTTTTAACTAAATTCATATGAAATTATATAAGATATTTTGTAACTAAAACACAATTTTTTTAATTTTCGTCAGTCTGTGTGTCTGTTCTGATTGACCGATTTTGACGGGACTTTCACTGGCAGATAGCTAATGTTATGAGTAACATAAAGTTATTAAAATTTTAAGAAACAACTATTTACAACTACAATAACGGTATATCATCCATACTCTAACTCTATACAAATAAATAAAATTGAAGTGTCTGTTTCTAATGTCAAAATTACAGCTTTTTACTAAATACATATGAAAATAAATACGGTACTTATAACTAATCTCCAAAACGGCTGGACCGATTTTGACGTGATTTTCACTGGCAGATAGCTGATGTCATAAGGAGTAACTAAGGCTACTTTTCTTTAAGAAAAATAATCAGGCTTCCACGCAAAAAAATAAAAACCCTAACGCGCGAGCGAAGTCGCGGGGCACAGCTAGGTATTTATATAATTGGACTCAAGTTTAAAATTTAGCTACTCTTTGAAAAATAACCCTGTACATGTATTTCCCTAGAAATATAATATTTGTACCCATAATATAGTGGGATACTATGTTATATAGTATGGTTGGCAACCCTAGTTGCAACGCCCAAGGGACAAACTTTGATAGGTGTTCTTAGGACGTTACCATGTAGGAAGATATTATCTATATCTATAAAAATAAATAAAATTTAAGTCTGTTTTTAATGTCAAAATAACAGCTTTTTACTAAATATATATAAAAGTATATACGGAAGTTATAACCAAAACACAATTTTTAAAATGTTTGTTTGTCTGTCCATCTTTCTGTTTGTTCCGGCTAATCTCCAAAACGGCTAGAGCAATTTTGACGGGACTTCCACTGGCAGATAGCTAATGTTATAAGGAGTAACCTACGCTACTTTTATTTTAGAAAAGGAATTAGGTTTCCTTCCAAAAAATGCATTAAATCCAATCGTAATAAATTCAGCTAACTAAAACTGTTAGTTTTAAATAAATTTAGTTCCACACAATAGCTTCTGGAGTCAATGCTAAAAATCTATTCTATAAAAAAAATGCTAAGAAGTGTAAAGAAGGAATAAGGCCCCAATTTTAGAAGCTATTAAGTTATGCGAACATTTTTATTTTCTTTATTTCATTTTCATGCTATTTAAAAAATATTATTTGTCTCATTGGAGTGAACTAAGTAATGTTATGTAGTGCTATTATTAATTTTATTCTGTGGTAATATCTAATATCCCAAGCTCAATTACCTATGGAGGGTAGTACTACTACCACAGAGTACATTATATATAGGGGAACTACTACCCTTACTCTGTGGTGTGGTTGTTACGTTGAGCTTACTCAAGGTAACACTTACACCTCAGAACATAGCTTGCTACATATTTATTTATCTACTAGCTAAACGTACATCTTTGAACATAGCTTGCTACATATTTATTTATCTACTAGCTAAACGTACATCTTTGTCATGGCTCGCGAATTCTTATAAATAACACTTCAAAAGGAATTGTTTTGCAAAAAATATACTATTCACCTTGGCCAGACCATAGATCTGATGATATCTATTGTGTCGTCCTCTACTATCCATCCTTATGGGGTAAAATTTTTTCTTACATTTTAAATGGGACCACCTTTGAAATAAAGCTTATTTAATAAAAAAAGGATAATTAATATCCTATCCTTTAGGCGTTATCAAACCAAGAAATTATTTGAATCGCAATTTTGTTAATATTTTGATACCAGCTTTTTTTTAATTTTTATTGAAGTAACAGTGCGAAAGTAGGAACCACAGACCTATGTAGCAACACTCAAATATATTCCGTTACGATATAAAATTGATTAACGTTTCTAAATTTAAGGTCAATTATTTTAATAAATTCATATATTCTTAATACAATTTTATCTACAGATTATATAAATTAATTGAATCGCATATAAATGTTTTTAGTGAGATTGATTATGTTAATATTCAATTAAATTAAGCTTTTATAAAATCCGTTCTACGCATATGTATGAAGCACGAGCTGATGACAGCGCCAATCGTGACAACATGGTAGAACTAAATTAATCATATGACTATTTCTCTTTGCGTTGTAGCCAGATATTGATTTGTGTCTTGGTCTCGGTTCATATTCGACATAGTTTTTGTGTAAATCTTCAGAAATGGCGAGCCAGACACAGGGAATCCAACAATTACTTGCCGCTGAAAAACGCGCTGCTGAAAAGGTCGCCGAGGCAAGAAAGCGTAAGTGTTTTTATGTCGCATATTGTACAGACCTATACTTTTCGAAATTTCAGCTGCCAATTTTCCGTTTATATTTTAGTCAAATACGCGTAGTACACCAAGTTTTTTTAGAAAAATTCTGTTGCTAACTGTTAAATAATACTGTATATAGCTAATAAGTCTAATTACGTTCTGGGCTTTTTTATAATTCCGTTGTCACATGATTGTGGCCCTGAAATCATAATGATTGTAGAAAACAATGATTTCTACATATTAGGAGCTGAAAGTAACAACTTATTATCGCTCTGTTATTACTATTCTCTCTGTTATATATTATTACTTTTATGTTTTTTTATTGGGTTTTATTTTACTTTTTTGTTTCTTTTCCTATTTTCTTTGTAAATTTATTCATTGTGAACAATATTTTCACCTTCATAGTGTCTCTTATGTAAGATAGTAGCTATACCTTGCTATAAATCACCTCAACTCATATATGTAAAGGCCCATAGAAATTTTTTGACATTGCTTTGAAGACTGTAACTATAAGTATATAAAAATATTCATTTATATTGAGAAAGAAATATTCTTGAGTGGCAGCATCATACGGGTAAGCTCAGTGTCACGCAGCCTACCATTAAATGGAATGACAATCTGTTAAGAGATGAAGGAAGTCGATTAATGGAGGAAGTCGATATATTCAGCAGTGGACTTGTGATGGGCTGTAATGATGATGATGATGATGATCTACATACACGTAAGAGATTAAAGATCTACTCATATTGTTTTAAAAAGTATACTCAGAAAACACAGTTATAGACTGTGAAACGCACATCTATATATATAAAAATTATGTGTCACATTGTTTGTCCATGATGAACTCCTAAACTACTAAACTGATTGCATTGAAAATTTGCACACTGTGTGCAGTTTGGTCCAACTTGAGAGATAGGATAGTTTTTATCCCTATAAGTGACCCTCAATATTTTTTATTACGAACTTAAGAATTTTTATAGGACACAGGATGGTCGGAGAGCGCAGAACAGTATCTGCCCGACCAAATAGTAATACAATAAAATTTAAGTGCAAGTTAAATCAAACAGGGTTAACATTTAAAAAAAAATAATGTCATGTTACTTTCTTTCTTTTCAGTTCTTGTCACTCACCCCATAATACACATTAGCATTATGATGCTATTTTTTTTTAATGGTTTTAGGTTATGGTCCTTTGATAACTGAGCCAAACAATTTCTGATGCAGCCATAATATTTGACACTTGCGACCCGCCCCACTTTCGCCTGGATTTATTATTGTGACATTATTTGGATATAAGATAATCATTAAGGACATTTATTTCATCAATTTTTGATTTATAAAAAAAACAAGTTTTTCAGATAAAATATAGTCTAGATTGGTTCAGCCATTTTGAAGATTAGCTCGAACATAAGGACAGACAACAGATAGACAAAAAAATTAAAAATGTTCATTCCTTTATGTCTTAATATTATTGAAATAATTCCTGGTACGACTTTCCATTGACGTCAGTGGAGTTTGGTGTTGATACGTATTTTTACAGAAAGATTACACTATTATAAGCACACACACAAAGTCTCAATATACGGAAACGCGTAATTTTTGAGAAAAGAATAATTGAAAATCAATTATTCTTGCAATGTTTATGTCTAATCTGCTAATAAACTGGCGCCATTTTGTAATGTCATTGTCGACGTCAATAGGGATGTCTATTCTTTCCGAAAAAGGTCGATTTTTAAATCGATTCAAATCGTAAGCTGATGTATCGATTCCCAAAAAATCGATTTCTAAAATATCGATATTTTTTTCATGTTTGCATTTATAATGTAAATATAAATCCATTTTATGAAAAAAAAACCCCTTCATCATAAATAAATAAGGGGACTGATTCATAAGGATTTCTGTATCTATTTTGAGACTGCTACGTCTCCGGCGCTGCGGGAAGAGCAACCTCTACGCCTTAGCGTAACAAATCTCAGGCATCCCTCCTCGCCTCCGCAGCTTCGGCTTGTTGGTCGGCTTCGGCGACCAGCCTCAGCCGCTCCGGCTCGTCCAATGCCTACGATTTGTTACAGCAGGCGGAGGCTGCTCCCCCTACGCGCCTCCGGCTCTATAAAACCACTCTAGGGGTAGGACAGACTCGTACCAGGTGGAGTCGGAGTCAATCAATTCGGTTCTTTGACATAAGTTGAACCTAACCTATTTTATTTGTTATCTGCCCTAATAGGTACTGTTAAATAAAACAAATTTCAATAAGAGATCATTTATCATGGTATCTTTCTTGTTTTTCATAAAATGGGTTTATATTTACATTATAAATAGAAACATTCAAAAAATTAGATATTTTAGAAATCGATTTTTTGTGAACCGATACATAAGCTTACGATTTGAATCGATTTAAAAATCGACCTTTTTCGGAAAGAATCGATATCCCTATTGACGTCGACAATGACATTACAAAATGGCGCCAGTTTATTAGCAGATTAGACATAAACATTGCAAGAATAATTGATTTTCAATTATTCTTTTCTCAAAAATTACGCGTTTCCGTATATTGAGACTTTGTGTGTGTGCTTATAATAGTGTAATCTTTCTGTAAAAATACGTATCAACACCAAACTCCACTGACGTCAATGGAAAGCTAAGCCTAATTCCTAAAGTTCAATAAAAGGCACTTAATTCGGTATTACCAACAGATATTAAAAGCTAAATGTTTAATTTTATACATATGTCTAGATTATTTTTCAATACCTAGTTACATTAAAACACTGAAATATACAACGGTATTGCACAAAATTTAAATTGATAATTTCTAAATTTAACATTTCACGTGGTAGAGCCATGCTGCGGCTATATTAGTAGTATAGTTGTAGCACGAATGGGTCGGCTCAACCGGGGAAGGACCACGCTCTCACAGAAAACCAGCGTAAAATAGCAGCCTAAGGCTGCTGTGTTTCGTATGGTGAGTGTAGAGAACCGGAGACCCTTATTATGACCCATAATATGCATTCTGATTCTTTATTGAGGATAGATGTGGATGTCTATGAGTCACAGCAACCATCATCAAGTGGACGGTGTGCTCGTTTGTCACCCTATCCTATAAAAAAAAAACCGATGGGGAAGAAATGTTCTCGAGTGACAGCCTCGTACTGGCAGGCGAAGTGTAAAGCGTCTCCCCACTAGATGGTGTGACAACCTGGTAAGATATGCAGGAATCTAATGGATGCAGATGGCTCGAGACCATGCTTTGTAGCATTCCTTGGGGGAGGCCTATGTTCAGCAGTGGACTTGTGATGGGCTGTAATAATGATGATGATGATAGTAATGATTTAAAGTTTTAATATTATAATTAACTTGAATGAATATAATATTACCCTATGATCCTTGTTGGTTGAAGTAAATAAAATAAATAAAAAAGTAATTTCCATTATTACAGGAAAAGCAAAACGTCTAAAGCAGGCCAAGGAGGAGGCTCAAGATGAAGTTGAAAAGTACAGACAAGAACGTGAAAGGCAATTCAAAGAGTTTGAAGCCAAGGTCTGTAAATATTGATGTATTCTTGGTAGCTTAAGATCAGAAACAGAAACTTTTTTATTCAATATAGATTATAAATAATACTTATTGAAAGTCACTCTTTTGTTTAATTACCACTGGTTCGGAAAAAACCTCTGTCCTGGGAAGAACCAGCAAGAAACCCAGCGGGACTTTTTTTTTTAAATAACAGCTTACAATCATGATGTTACACAAATTAACAACTCAACAAATTAGAAATAGCTTGGTAGCGATCACCTCATTTCCAGGGGTTATTATCATCCATAAATTCCTTAATATTATAATAACCCTTTTTATACAAACTTAGTTTAATAAAGTTTTTGAACTTCGAGCAGGTCAAACTTTGTATATTTTCTGGAATTTTGTTGTAAAAGCATATACATCACCCCAAGAATGAATTACTGACTCGATGGAGTCGAGTAACTAGTACTACTAGCTTGTGTCTGTTCCTAGTATTTACAGAATGAATATCACTTATTTTTGTAAAACTACTTTTATTTTTGTGTACCTACAAACATCTCACTCACTTTCTTTCTTTAGCTGATGTAGTCAATGGCATTTCATAGTTTGTGGGTGTGTGCATTCTATGAATTATGAACACAATTGTGGCTGTTCCTATGGTTCATTTGATTGTTGGAAAAATCATATAATTATGAAGTAAACAATCATGTAACTGAACAAATAATTAGTATGCGAACCTTACTGGAACAGAGACATTCCATCTTAGTCTTCAGGCACACTAACATACCAGCTATTATATACTCCTTGTGTTTTTAGCGAACTTCAAAAATGACGAAGTTTACAATCCTTTTTATTAATTAAGTTACTTCAGGGGTCCCATATATATCTGGGAAAATAATTTTACCTGTACGGGTGACAAAATAGAGGATGAAGTTTTATTGTAACTATTTATACAACATTGAGATTGTAATATTCTGTAGTCCACTCAAAGGTTAAAAAAATACCTTAACAAGAATTAAAAGCAAACTTCAAAGAATTCAAAAGAATAAAATAATTTCGCGATCTAAAGTCGGGATTTAATTCTCCTATACCAGTAGCGGCACGAAAGTCTAGCAGTGACCGTTATTGCGAGTAATTCGCGCTGATTGGTTGGTGCGTATCGTTCGCACGCGCTAATTGGCTCTCCAGTTGCATTCGTGCAATTCAATTCGTGCGCGTCCCCTCCACGTTTCGTTCAGTGCTAGACTTACGTACCGCGACTTGTACTAATAAATCTTCCGAACGTGAAATTATTTTATTCTTATTCGTTTTTTGAAGTCGACTTTTTGTTGTTAAGTTGTTATTTTACCAAGTCAATATTCCTAAAATTTTGTTGAAGAATAGCTAGGTAATAATTTGTTTGTAAGGTTTGATTTTTCTCATGAAAACATTTGAAAAATGTAATAATGTTGTATGGTTGTACGATGCTAAATGGTTCCTATTATTTTTTAATTTAGCACATGGGCACAAGGGAAGGCGTCGCGGCTAAGATTGATGCAGAGACTAAGGTGAAGATTGAAGAGATGAACAAAATGGTGCAAATGCAGAAGGAAGCTGTAAGTATTCTGTAATTCTGAAAAATCAGATGTAGCTTGTATATGTCTTCAGTAGGTACAATTCTTGAATTTCAAAATTTAGTTAATTTTATATTTCCAATTTTCTTATTATTTACTAGTTTGAATCTTTACAATTTCAGTAAATATTTTGAAACATATTTACCTTCCTTCAACAGTTTGATGGTGATTGATTTAAATGTTTTGTTTTTGTAACTTTGATACTTAATTTTTTTCTTGGTAAAAGATGTTAACAGTACATTGACATTCTACTATGTAAATTTAGTTTTTAATTAATTTTTAATTTTATTGAAGTTTTGCATAAATCAAACATTTTCATTAAAAAAAAAGACAAATATGTTTTAATGAAGTACTTATTATTTTATTAACCTGTACCATTATTTTCCAGGTGATTAAAGACATCCTCAGCTTGGTATACGATATCAAACCCGAGCTCCATGTTAACTACCGCATATAATAAGTCACATGTTTGTTACGCTTTAAATTTCGCATATTAAATCCCAATGCGAACACAATAATAGTTCTTATTGTTATTACACTGTTTATAATCTGTAGGCCATTGGCACAATGTGCGCGCGAAACGCGAATGTCAACTTGACAGTTCGTGGCGCGGGAAAAGCCATAATCGCTGTATATAGAAGTCATTGTTTAGCTTTGCCCTATTTAATTAATAATTCATGATAATATAAGCGTGTAATTGAAATCAGCTCGATATCATTCCAATATAAAGAAAATAAACAGTGAAGGTCCGCTAAAAACGCATACTATAACTTATAATCTTAAAATTGTATGTTATTCCATGTTGTAAGTTGAATAGAAATATATGAAAGTTTAACAAATGATTTTGAAAGTTTTTATTTCATTCATGTTTATTGAGTAGAAGCTGGTGTACAGTATCAGAGGAAATATATTATTTGTGTAACAGTAAATTCTTGTTTCATTAAAGTTGCCAATTACATTGGATCTGGTCACTTGACATCTGTGGTTCTGAAAAAAAAATGTTCTTTAAGCAATGGAAATATTCATGTAACGATATTATTATTATCTCAAATATTTTTATCGTAAATTTTACGCCGATCAATGAATTATCACAAGATTCCCCAAATTTGCTATGGTTGCAACTAGCGAGCGGGTTGGTAAGCACAGTTTTTATTTTTATTCAGCTGTTATCAGGAAGATGCTGCTGCCCATCTCCTGGTTCAGCTTTCCTTTTTCGCCTCTTACCACACCGATGGGATGTTATATGGTAGTTGATATTCTTACACCACTACACGGTTAAATATACGATATATTAAGCTAGATGTAAAATACTCAGAAACTATATTGAAAATACAATTGGCTTTTTTATCTGACTACCCTACAACCAGATGTTTGCCGTGTTGCCACAGGTCGCATGGGTGTTGTAAGATACAAATATGGAAAATGCCCAAAAACTAGCATCTGATAGATGGCGGTCCATCGACAAACCGTTGATGACCAGTAGCGGCTAAAGTGCGAGTCATCTGATACTGCGACCGTAAAGTATATAAATAAATAAAATAGGTGTTTATTTATAATGCCATTTCTACTAAATGCATATGAAAGTATATACGGTACTTATAATAAAAACAATTTTTAAATTTTTTATCTGTCTGTCTGTCTGTTTGTTCCGACTAATCTCTGGAATGGCTGGACCGATTTTGACTGGACTTTCACTGGCAGATAGCTGATGTTATAAGGAGTAACATAGGCTATTTTTATATCAGAAATAGAATTAGGGTTCCGCGCAAAAAAATTAAATCCCATGAACTCCAATCGTAATAAAATACACGCGAGCGAAGTCGCGGGGAACAGCTAGTTTAAAGTAAATGTGTTCAGAAGAAATGAACAAAAATTATAAATAAACACAAATAATAGACTAGTATGTAACTACAACTTTGTAACGATTACATTATATTTTTAGAAGAACATAACAAAATTAAGACAAGTTCTCCGTCAACAGGAGAGGCTTATGTCCACTTGTGAACTCTATTTATTCATACCTTGTTGTCTATATTGCATAAATAGTCTAGACAGCAACGTGGCGGACTTTTTCTTTATTACCTTTCTACGTGGTAGAGCCACGCTGCAGCTATATTATGGTTGTAGCACGAATGGGTCGGCTCGAACGGGGAAGGATCACGCTCTCACAGAATACCAGCGTAAAATAGCAGCTTAACACTGCTGTGTTTCGTATGGTGAGTGTAGAGAACCGGAGACCCTTTTTACTGGCAAAGAGGCATTCCATCTTAGTCCTCACGGGTGACAACGCATCTGCATCTTGAGTCTTTATTGAGGATAGATGTAGATGTCTATGGGTCACAGTGACCACTTGCCATCAGGTGGACTGTGTGCTCGTTTGTCACCTGATCCTATATAAAAAAACCTAACCGCCCCATAAATAGGGGGATTTTTTTTCGTATGTTTGTCTATATCTTTGATGGATTTTAACATATAACATATTCTTATACGTTTGATTCGTCTGAATTGTGGGAGTGATATAGACTATAATTTTTTTCTCTTTTCAGTAAACATTTTTTACGCAGCTGAGATTTTTAAATTACTGCTTAACGATGTTTGAATAATGAGCGGAAGCCATTTATTCATTGTAGTGAAATTGCTTCTTTACCTTAGCCTCATTCGTTTCTCGCCCAGCTTCCCCAACCACTCCGCTACAAATCCAACGGACGAGAACACCGCCGGTTGATCCGGCTGATCACATGTTTTAGATGAAAACGACAGAATTCCTATTAGGCGACCGTCCATTATCGCTGGTCCTCCTGCATCATGTTGGTAAATAAACAGTTGAACATTTTAAAAAGGTGCGCATAAATCTCTCTGCTTAAAGATCCGATTAGGTAACTATATACCATGGGTCCCGCGTCCAAACAGTTGTACACTTATCTTGCTCTAGTTTATAGAGCAGGTAAATAGGCTATAGTTCGGCCGTTCAGAGAATGCGTTCCTGACACGTCGCGATTGAACTGACGACGTAACTTTGCAATGGCGTTGCAGTTACGATAAAAATATTTTTGCTGGTTGTTTACCGTTTTAACAATTCATGAGCATTAAAACAACATTATTATATCAATAATCAATGAATGTTATAATTTTGTGCCAAACTGAGTGTCAAATAACTTGGTAAACAATATTTTTCTAAATCTATACTGCGCTATTACAATGTTATGTCAGCGCTTTATATTTGTAGTGCTCTGCTAATTTATATTGTGTTAATTTGTGCTAATTATAATAAATTATATATAAGTAATAGGGGTTTGAGTTATTTACGTAATAGTTTACGTGGTAAACCACGCTGCAGCTATATTATGGTTTTAGCATGAACGGGTCGGCTCGACTGGGTAATTACCACGCTTTCACAGAATACAAGCGTAAAATAGCAGCTTAATGCTGCTGTGTTTCGTATGGCGATTGTAGAGAACAGGAAACCCTTTTTACCGGAAATGAGGCATTCCATCGTAGTCCTCTAGTGACAATGCATCTACATTTTGATTTTTAATCGAAGATAAATGTAGCTGTCCATATCCTAAGTGAATGGTAAGTCATCAGATGGACTGTGTGCTCGTTTGTCACGTTGTTATGTCACATAAAAAATATAAACTGAATAAATTGTAGGGAACCATCAGGACAAGATTCCTACTCGGACTTAACTTTTTCTTTATTATTATTATTATATTATATAATATTTCATATAAATAATTACTATTATTATTATAATAGTATTTATATGAAATTCACGATGTATTTGCCACAAGTGATGACTTGTCTCCGTGCCTTGACTTGGTCGAATGGTGAGTTTAGTAGAGAGCCGGAGGCCCTTTTTATTAGAAATTAAGCATTTCATCTTAGTTTCTTAGTCCTCAGGGATGACAGCAGATCCGCATTTTGATTCTTAATTGAAAATATACTTAGATATCTATGGGCCACAGTACCCATTTATTTACGATCAAGTAGACTCGTCAATCGTTTGTCACCCTTAATAATGCCGGCCCAATGTTAGAGAAGGCCCTGCAGAGTTCCGTCAGGGTTTTAATGATTATAAATAGAAATTGAAGTGTGAAACGGAATTTGTCTTTACTTATTTTTCATAGTTTATAATGATTTTACATCGGATAAAAGTTACCAATGAAATAAATTATAACCTGACTGAATATAAAAGTGAAAGAATTGAACTATTTATATTCATACAACTGTTATTCTTAATTTATATAATATGTTGTATTTTATCTTATGAATAATATAGATAATTGGAAAATCGGCCCTTGTAATAGAATACTTCAAAAGTACGTACATTACAGACATTTTTGGGTAAAGTGATATATCCAGCGCAAAAGTTTGATCTGGTTACTAAATCCCTGAAAAAAAAAAACTATATTAATAAAAATAACCCTCTAAAAAGTCTGATGAGATTCGTGTCGTCCTCCTATGACGAAGAGTGAGATGATAAGTATTCAAGCTATTAGTTCGTATAAAGAAGGCCTAAACTTGGTAAAGCCATGCTACAGTTTCATTCTGCGACTGCAGTAGATACTAATAGTAATCGTCGTCTCGACCGGGTAATGATCACGCTCTCCAACTAAAAATACCATAACCGCTCTGTTGCGTTTGCTAAATGTAGGGAACCGAATACCCTTTTTATTCATTCCTTCGTAGTTCTCAGGGGTGACAACGCATCTATGCATATTCATACTGGACCGAAGATAAATGTAGGCAGGACCGGATTAACCATTAGGCAGAGTAGGCTGCCTAGGGGCCCCGCATCAGGTAGGGGCCCCGTGCGCACACAAATATAATGAAAAATGTTTCATACAGAGAAAAATTTATTAGAAAATTTGTAATCTCAGTGACAATAGCATACCTACTGCGCATACTGTCAGTTGATGAAATACTTCATACTTACAGAACAGAACCATCTAGTATCGAGTAGTAGAACTATTTTCTTTCGTTTATTATATTTAATTGCATTTATCAAGAATAAAATTAAAATGAAAACACCCCCGTCTTATTTTTCTTTCTTGCTCCATAGATGAGACGATCTTATCTCATATACATACTTTACCTAATGAGATTTGGATCATCACTTTGTCTTAATGAATCTATAACCTATTCATTAAGACAATTTCAATAAGCCCAAATACAAATCTTTTACTATAAGTTCCTGAGGAGTTAAGCATCAATCCGGTGATGCTACTCACATCCCTTTATGCTGGCTGCAAAGGGGCCCTGAGAGTTCCATTGCCTAAGGGCCCCGACATGGTTAATCCGGCCCTGAATGTAGGTCACAGCATTCACTTACTATCAGGTAGACTGTTGGTTGTTTGTCTTCGTTACTTTTATTTAAAAAAAAAGTTAGGCGTCACGGGACGCCCGGCAGAAGTGAAACACCATAGTTGATTGATAGTAGAATTTATAATTAATGATAACCAATAAATAAGTATGGAGTAATATAAAAAAAAAACAGAAACGCACACGCAGTACACAATTCACACAGACAAGCAACGAAGTGTATAGTATCTATACGCGCACGCACACACAACGGAGTCGAGATCGGTGGCGTAAGGGCATGACGGCATAAGAGAGCGTCATGCCGTTTGTCGCCACGGCTAACGAGTCGGTTTTACTGCCAAGGCGTGTTAATAAATGTTTCACATCAAAAAGAAAACTACCTATTGTAGGGTTAGAGATAGAGAATAGTTTTATTTTTTATTTTAGAAACTTCCGCGAATTATCCATGGAAGAGTCGAAGTCATTACAATGAAAAAAGCGGTGCTTTATTCATTGTAATGTCAGCTTTTACCCCCTACTAGTTCTGAATTAAATATTTTCACGTTGTTTGTAATGTATTTCACTGCGTACACAATAAGACGCTTTCGTGATTCGTGAGAGAAGTGGTGGGCAGTGCCCACCAGTTCTCTCACGAGTGCAGTAAATATAAGGTGAGGTATATGTTCAGAGTTCAGACAGTACCTCTTACAAATTCGACATGTAGTGAAAATCCAATCCTACGTACCGTCTATCGTTGAATATGAGTTAATCTAGGATAATGCCTATGGTCAACAATGGACTTTGATGAGCTGTAATGAATGAATGCTCAGGGTTTCTTTACGTGTAAAGCGTCGTCCTAATACAACGCGAATGCGCGGTCATTTCAAGTTCGCGCGAATTTTACTCGTTCGAACACGCGATCAAACATACTGATCTCGAATAGGTGTCTTAATTGGAATTATATTGGCAATTAAGTCGCGCGACCCCATCGCGCGACTTAATTGTTTGAAAATCTATTCGCGCGAACTTAGTTCGTACGAACGGGCGATCAAACATATTGCTATCGAATAGGTGTCCTAATTGACATTCGCGCCTACGTTGCGACCTATGTTGATTGTGAAATTCACCACGTATCGGTATCAAATTCAAATTCAAATTCTTTATTCCATAACTATAATTTCCAACAAAGCACTTTGGGACCCATTTCATTTATTTCATTGCTGTTAAGACCAGCAGAAAAATCATCTATATATTATCAGGTAAACTAAAGGCGTTTCTGACGTCCTTGCTTAGCACCAATGCCATGCGCAAACTGCGAAGCGAAGCGGAACCCAGCGGCCGCTCGCATCGACAATTCGCGCGATGATCGCGTATTCGCGTTCTATCAGGGCACCCAGTTTTCGATATCGCGCGAGCACGCGATGGTCGCATCGCTTACTCGCGCGATGATCGCGTAATCCGCAGTAGAATCAGCGTAACCGACATAGTCCAACGGATTAGTAAGCTGAAGAACCAAGAACCGATGGGGATAAAAGGTTTTGGAGTGGCAACCTCGTACTAACACGCAGGAAGTCGATGGATGTAGGTGGCTCAGGACAGTGCTTTGTGGCATTCTTTAGGTGACGGCGGGAGGGCTATGTTCAGCAGCAGAATTGTGAATGGCTGTAATGATGATGAATGAATAGACGTGAATGTTGCTATTGAAACTCACTTTCCATATACCTCTTGACAGTCAGCGAAGTCGTATACTGGTAGTTTAACTTTCTGCAGTAAAGTTTGGCCTCCCAGTCCTTCGGAACCCTTAAATTGTAAGCGTGTTAATTGTAAGTAGGTACGTCGTGAAGTGAATAGAACTTGTAATTACACCGCGAAGTGAATAGAACTGGATAGCTAACAACTACTAGGTAGCTTAAATGTCTCGTTGGTCTGTTTGTGCATTGTGGTGTTCAAATCCCGGGTTGAGCCAAAGTCAGTTATAGGGTTTGTCTGTCATGTTACACCCCAGTGCCTCGGTAAGCACGTAAAGCTGTTAATCCTGCACCTGATCTCTCTCCAGTCGTGTTGGATTACCGGGACCTGTGATCCCTAAGCTATTTCTAATTTGTTTTGTGTGGTTAATTGTGTAACATACATGACTGTAAGCTGTTATTTAAAAAAAGTCTCGCTGGGTTTCTTGCTGGTTCTTCCCAGGACAGAGGTTCTTTTTCGAACCAGTGGTAATTAAACAAAAGAGTGATTTTCAATAAGAAGTATTTATAATCTATATTGAATAAAAAAATGCGTGAGTGTCATTGAACACTCGGTTGGAACGAATTCCTTGCGTAGTATATTATTATTCATAAACGTAGGTATTATATTATTGATTAAGAAATACAAATAAATGAATTACCTAGCGTCTATTAAAATAAAGCGTCATTTGAAATAAAATAATATTTCTTTCATGGCAAGATAAGAAAAAGTGCGAGGGAGATGGATATTATTCCATCTAACTTCCTTATTTCGCCGCTAAGGCCGCCTACACTCTACACTATGACACAAGGGGTAGTGACGAAAAAATCTTACACTTTTTGTCACCTAGTTCCCACCTGCCAAACCCGTACCGTCCGATAAAGAACTTCGTTCCAAAAGTTTATGTTTCTGTTTCTGTTTATGGGACGGAGGGAATAGTGTACCTGTGTTTGCGCTTACACTCGTGGACTATAATCCTGTCCTGCGTAGACAACTAAGTAGTCTACGTTGAGATTCACCACCGCGATCTAAATTCGGTCTGGGGGATATTATTATTATAAGCTGAAGTGGCAACGGGCTAGCCTTATAGCTCGACGAACTGATAATCGATTAGTATGTTCTCGAAGGTGTTGTGGCATTCCTTGGGGGAGTTTTATGTTCAACAATGTACAGTATTTCATACCGACACACCGCCTCCAACTTTACAAGGCGCATGTTTGGCCTCACATGGAATACTGTTCCTATCTCTGGGCTGGGGCTCCCCAGTGCCAGCTCCTTGCACTTGACCGCATCCTTGATCGAGTCCTTTCCGATCGGCTCGATTCACTGGCGCTGCGAAGAGATGTTGCATCCCTTTGCATTTTATTTCGCATTTACCATGGGGAGTGCTCTGAGGAATTGTTCGGATTAATCCCAGCCACCAAAATTCCGAACGCACATCGCGACAAAACTCCCGATACCACACCATCTGAATGCTTGGCGGTCCACCACTGTACGTTTCACTAGGAATTTTCTTCCGCGTACGACCTCTCTGTGGAATAGTCCGAAAAAATACCACCGGCAATTTTTTCGGACCGATACGTCTTAGGGAACTTCAAGAAAAGAGCTTAATCTTTTTTTAAAAGGCCGGCAATGCACATGCAATTCCCCTGGTGTTGCAGTTGTTCATAGACGGCGGTAGTCACTTATCATCAGGTGAGCCGTATGCTCGTTTCCCCCTCTCCTATAAAAAAAAACATGTCTTAGTAGGTATACTGACTTTGGAAGCTACTTTAAGGAAATTTATTTTTAGTTATTTAAAGTCTACTTTAAATTTTTATCAAAAGCTTAATTTTTGATTACCGACATTTCGGGCTTTTTTCAGCACCTATCCCACTATGTGTGGGTGTATTTGTTTGTGTTTTTCTATTTTTTCTTTTTTGTTTAATAAACGTTACCTCCACACAAGAATATTCTCCTGCATCGTGGATAAAAGTTTACATACATAAATTTCACAAAAACAAACATACAGATTCGGAACCATTATGTGTAGGCCATACAAATACTTGTTGCGTGCGGGATTCGAACTCGCGACCCTCAGCGCTGCAACTCATTGCTAAGCCACTGCGCCACGGAGCCGTTGACCGTGTTTGTTAAATCTATATTTAAAAAAAGAACTCACCAATACGGAACCCCAACCAAGGAATGTTATTTGCGTATCCGTCGGAACAAGTCTATCTTGAGAATACTCAATGACACTGGCTTTGTATTCACTCTCGGCAGAAATATTCTTATGCAGCTTCACTACTGCGAAGTTGAACTCCAGGGTGCTGGGCTTGTAGTTGGGGTGGAAGAAGATCTCAGTCACTCTGTAGATCTCGCCACCGGACGTCGCGTTACTAGATCCCACGCGGACGGTGAGCATCTTGACGTATTCCCGGAAAAACCGGTTGTTATATTGCCTGATGAGTTTTGAGAATAGTTATTCGGAAAAGAACGTGATGCAGAAATACTAGAAAGACCTCCTTCAGCATCAATATTAAATTCTTAATTTAGAGAAAAACTGAAACCAGAAGTTGTGTAGTATATCTTCATGATATGAACACAATGATACTAAAAAAATGCGATTACCTAGCCGTCTGCCAATTGTTTTATATAAAATAAGGGTGACAAACTAACTACAGTCCACCTGATGGTAATTTCACCTGTGACCTATGGACATCTACATCTATCAACGGTTAAGAAATAAAAATGTAGATGTGTTGCCACCCCTGAGGACTAAGATGGAAAGCCTCATTTCCATAATGATTTCTTATGTTTACGCGAACACTACACATTTAAAGAAAACTAGTTTTTACGGGAATATATAAAAAGTTAATATACACGATAAAATCCGTAAAAACTAGCTTAATTTAAAAGCCTCATTTCCAGTAACGAGGGTCTCCGGTTCTCTACATTACGACTCACTAAATGGGGTAACTGTGACTAATATCCCCCTTATAAGGAAATATATGGGGGATATATAGACTTTTAATGGGCTGTAATGAAGGAATGATTTAATGAGTGTTAGGGTAAGGCCTCAGTCACTTAGTCATTGGACGGTGTAGTATTTGGCCTGCATGACAAGCACAATCTCTTCTATTGTAGTGTCCCTCGTGCCTACTTTTTTTACTGGTAACGAAGCTTCGAAGCTAACTTAGTCCTCAGTGGTGACAACGTATCCGTATTTTGATTCTTAATAGAGGATAAATGTAGATGTCTATGGACTACAGCATCCACTTATCATCAGGTGGACTGTGTGCTCGTTTGTTAACCTTATTCTATATTAAAAAAAATAACTTTTAAACTTTTCTTCAATATTGGGAAATACCCGGCCAATTCTAGTCAGGAATTGCATGATTTAATTCATCCCTCTGCCTTTCACCGTCCGACAACCAGATGCTCGGTGGTTTTCTAACCCTATGTCGTTGACGTACCACGAATACAAAACGGTTAGCTTCCTCGTTCAGCTAAATATTGGAATAACTTGCCGGCGATGCGATGTATTTTAACACTTTCACTCTCCGGTTTTCAGACACTATAATAAGACACCAGCAATGACTTATATATGTAGTGCACGGGATAGCGAAAGGGTTAACATATAAGGTGTCGTTAGATTCGTCTTATTTATGGGAGTGACACAGGTTATATAATATTTATATATTGCATCTGTAAATACAAAAAAGGAAGTGAGAAAGTTTTTTATCACAGTCGGATTTCTTTAATTTGGCTTCAGAACCGGCAGACGTTTTGGGGGTTTTGATTTTAACACCATATTACAATTTCATTTACAATTGTAAGAAGCCGATTAACTTTAGGCCCAATGGACACTTTGACAAGTACAGTAGCGAATTTAGTTACAGGGCAGTTGACAGTAAACGGTTAAGTGGGCAGTAGCGTTAAAATGTCTTCGTGGCGAGTTTAGTTAAAAACAGTACTATCTTACATTTTGAGGGTAGAACGCGAACACGCTGCATCCTGTCAACTTATGCACTGAAGTCACTGAACTAATATATATATTTTTCTTATATCAAAAACTGAACTAAACTCGCTCGTTCACACGAGCGGAGAGTTTAGTTGCGGGTGTCGGGTGACGCGTGGAAGGGCAGCGCTTCGAAAATAGACCGACCGGCAGACCGGCTATCCCGTTCAACTTAGAGATTGAACGGGATTTTTCACTTAACTCGCTAGGTTCGCGAGTTAACTCGCTACAGTACTTGTCGAAGCGTAAATCGGCCTTTAGCCAAGGTTCGGTGAATAGATTAATATTTCTTTAATGCACAATATAAGAAATAACAACAACATTATAAGAATTATACATAACAACACAATTATAAGAATTTCTCACAGTTGTAAGCAATGTGCTGCGGTCAAAATACTGTCGGTTCTTATAATGGCGGCTCCACACCACAGTTGTCCATTCACGAGTAGCGCCGCCATGAATGGATAATCGGAGACAGAAGCCGTTTCATCAGGATTATAGATGCGTCGGAAACGGCGACTGAGAGGCGGGTATACCGCGGTGGTGGCCGATTTGGTTGCTGGTTTAAAAAAAATCAATATTAAATTGTTTGGCAATATTTACTTCTCATTTAAACATTGGTGTAACGGGTCCTTCAATTGAAAGTTCGAACAACATGTCCTTTTGATAATAGCGTCCAATTTTACAACCGACTTTAAAAGGAGAAGGTTTACATAATGTTTTTTTTATATTTACGCGAACACTACACGTTGAATGAAACACATTTTTACGGATTAAATATTTAAAAATAAGCTGTATATAGCTAGCAACAAATGAAACTATTTTATTACGGATTAAATGTGCATTTAAATTATATTAGCTAAGATATGTATAGCTAGTTACACATTAAATGAAACTAATTTTTAGAAATTAAATATAAAAGAAAGCTATATTTAGCTAGCTAATGAACGCGATAAATTAGTTAAAACTAATTCATTCATCCTTGATTGAAGTTTTAACAGAGGTTTAACAGAGGTATTATATACTCCTTCTGGAGTATATAATACTTCTCCTGGAGAAAATAATTCTTCTCCTGGAATAGGTTTTCAATTCGACTGTATGCTTTTTCTTTCTTTATATATGAATGTTACGCGATAAGTTATTCTTTAGGGATCTATTCATCCATCCATTACAGCCTATAAAGTCCACTGCTGAACATAGGCCTCCCGCATAGATTACCTCATGAGGGTTTTTTCCATAGTTGCTACGCTTTTCAAGGGGATCTTCAGGGATGGTCTTGTTTGATTTCAATTTCAGAAGTTCAAGAGAATCCATCACCCCTTATCATGCTGTGGTTGTCGTACAAGGCGACTGTCTGAATTGCTATGAAAAAATATATTTTTATGCCAGGCGTAAAATACCAAGAACGGCGAGACAAATCTTCCCTGAGATGAGGTCCGTGCCCTACAGTGGGTTCTAAAGGTTTGATAAAGGAGAAGAAGATTATACGTGGTAGAGCCATGATGCAGCTATGTTATAGTTGTAGCACGAATGGGTTGGCTTGATCTGGGAAGGACCACAATCACAGGATATCAGCGTAAAATAATAGTTTATTCTTATATTTACAATATTTTAGTGAGTGTGGAGAATCGGAGACCCTTTTTAATGAATATGTGTCATTACATCTCAGTACTCAAGGGTGACAATGCATGTGCATATTGATACTTAATCGAGGATAGATGTAGATGTCTATGGACCATAGCATCCATTTACCAACTGGAGGGTTGTGTGCTCATTTGTCGCCCTTACTTTATAAAAAAAGAAGATGTTTACGCTTCGTGCCGCTCGTAACAGTTGTCATGATCTCCGGAATTTCATTACTTTGTCTTGAAGGTGATAAGTCGATCGGTAGACCTTTATAACTCTTGGATATGTCAATCATATCATTTCTTCGAGCCGGTTCTGTTTCCACTGTCAAATGCTTTGTGTGTCTTGTGCCTTTTACATGGCTATTGTTGCGCTTTTTGTTCCGTTGGCTTTTTGTGGTGTCTTTTTTTCCTAAATGTTAACAGTTTTATTTTTATTTATAAATTTTTATAGGTGTGTTTTTATTTTATATTGGAGCCTGTGATTAGTTAAGTTTATTTTATTGCACCTATGTCTCTGGCGTTTACTGAAAATCAGCGTTATAGTTACCACTATGTGGTTTCTATTACATTTGTGCTGAGTAGACGCCATTTTAGTTCCATTCCATTATTATTATTATTGGGGTTATCTATAAAGTTTTCTCATCTGGTTGGGCTATTTAAATATATAATTATAAACGAAATATATAAACATACATAAATATCAATAAAATAGTATAAATACATAAATATCAATAAAATAGTATAAATACATAAATATATAAAAAAAACCCAACCAGATGGAAGCCCTCGGCAGGGGAGACCAAACGGCCGAGGGTTAGGGGGAAAGGGAAAGAAACCGGCGGACGATGCGGGCGGTATCGAGGAGCACCGCCTTCTGCATTTGAGCTTGGAGCGGTCCGTCACGGAGTCCCAGTCGCCTCAAATGACCCGAGAGGCTAACTGGGATTAACCCGTTCGCAGAAACGACCACAGGAATAATTTCGGCCGGCAGACAACCCCACATGTCGGTCACCTCGTGAGCCAGGTCCACATATTTTGTTCGCTTATCTGTTTCGGCTTATTATTATATTATTATTATTATTAAATATAGAATAGAATAGAATAATTTTTATTCCATATAGATTATTTCATAGTAATTTTTTTATTTACCAATATTTCGGAAAATACCTCTGTACTTGGAAGAACCAGCAAGAAACCCAGCGGGACTTTTTATTAAACATATTTCACTTAACAATAATTTTGTTTGTTTAAATAAATTTTAATAGAACCAGCATGGTGGCGATCATCCCATTCCCAGGGGTTAATGAATTAAAAATCACCAAAATGCTGAAATTATTCCTATTGCAAAGAAAAGTAAGCCTACATCCTTTTCTGAATATCGTCCTATCTCTTTATTGTCCTTCTTATCTAAAGTCCTTGAACGCCTTATTTACATCCAGTTCAACAGTTTTCTTTGTGTGAATGCTCTTCTTATTCTTTTACAGTCAGGATTTCGATCTGGACACAGTACTACCACAGCATTGGTGAACATCACCGATGATATCCTATTAGGATTGGAAAACGGTGAAGTGATTGTTCTTTGTTTATTAGATTTTAGTAATGCTTTTAATACCGTTGACCATGATGTCCTACTCGGCATAATCCGCTCTCTTAACGTATCTCCAGCGATTACTTGCTTTCAGAGTTACCTGTCTGGTCGCCAGCAACGTATAAATATCGATGATACATTATTGGTACGTGTCACTTGGTACGTGTTGGTGTACCGCAGGGAGGCGTTTTATCTCCATTACTTTTTGCAGTTTTTATAAACTCAATATCCAATAATTTGACTTCTTCCTACCACCTTTATGCAGATGATCTACAAATATATACAAAAGATTGTCCCAACGATCTCCCCAATGCTATCAATGTCGCTAATGCAGATCTCGATCGAATTCTTGAGTGGAGTAATGCATACGGCCTTCACCTTAACCCAGCAAAATCGCAAGGCGTTATCATGGGCAGCGCGCAAATGTTGGCTAAGTCGAGTCTAGATTACCTGCCTCTAGTATTTGGTAAAACTATTATTCCTTACAGAGATTCAGTAAAGAACTTAGGTATCTACTTAGATAAGAATCTGTCGTGGGGACAGCACATCAAAGGAATTAATCGTAAAGTTTATGCCTCGGCAGCCTCCTTGCGTAGATTACGTAACTTTCTTCCCATTTCCACAAAAACTACGCTTGCCAAGTCCCTTCTCTTCTCTATTTTTGACTACGCCGATGTCAGCTATCTAGATCTCACCGAAGCTCAGTTCGATAAACTTGAGCGAGTTCAGAATTTTTGTATAAGGTTTATATTTGGATTGCGCAAATATTACCATGTATCTCTTTTTTGTACTAAGCTCAAGTGGTTGCCAATATGACTTCATCGGAATGCTCACATACTTCATCTTCTCTATACTGTTCTCTTTAATTTTTCAGAAACTTAAAACGATTTTTGAGGTAAGAAGGGTAACTTCTTACCTCAAAAATCGTTTTAAGTTTCTTCGTGATTCCCATTCGCGTAACTTGAGATCAGCTGAGAGTTTGAAGTTGAATTTACCACTATACACTAGAAAATTTATGAACAAGTCTTTTACTGTACAGGCCGTTCATTTATGGAATGAACTCCCATTGTCAGTAAAACGCGCACCATCCCGGTATGGTGTATTACCGGTATTTAAAAAACTAGTTAAGAATCACTACCTCGCACTTTAAATTCTAACTTTACTTCCAAACTAGCCATTAAATATAATTTATATGTATCATATCAATTTTATTTAATTAATTAAATAATTCAATATATATGTATTTATTTTTTGTATGTATATATGTTTGTAGTATGTGTATGTATATATATATATATATATGTTTAGTAATAAGACCGCCCATTGCATACTTATTTTATATATAATTTCTGTAATTTATGTATGATGTGCAAAAAGAATATTAAATAAAAATAAATAAATATATTAAACATCTTTATTCTTATAAAAACGATCTATGTTTTTATGTACACACATTACATTTTCATAAATATATTGCGATGCCAAAGTTAATATATTTATATGTTTAAATTTTTCTCTAAGTTTAGTTATAAATATAAAGTACGGCTCTTTTGCAGAACAAATGTGGCTTCAATATCAGTCCCATTACCCCACAGCAAAATTCCAAAAGACATCACGCTATGAAAGTAACTAAAATAAACTAACCTAGCTCTGTCAATATTGGTGAGACTTCTAATCTTTCTTACAGCACATGCTGCAGAACTAAGTCTGCCTGCTAATTTAGATATGTGGGCATCCCATTGAAGCGTCGTGTTAATAGTAATACCAAGAAAAACAGTGGTATCCACAAGAGTCAACTCCTCCCCATTTAAGAGTACATTGGTATTCGAATGTTTAACATTAAAACAATAAATTTAAAAGTAAATTTAATGCATTTTGTCTTTGTACGGAACCCCTTTAAATGATATATGATATAAGAAGAAATGATTTTATTTAAACTTAATAATGATATTGCTACATCATTGATAATGGTATAAAACGCGTGCGCCGTGCTCGGAATGTAAACGTGACTACTTGAAAAATAAAGTAAATGATGCAAATGATACCTAAATAAATCGCTTACTAACAAAAATGGTTGCATTATACAGTCTTATTGCCGTTTAAGAGCAGATTATTATCTACATTGTCAAAATTAATTGACTGTCGTTGAGTTTGAAAATTAAAGAGGTAGTCATCAGAAAATAATAGTATATCGTGGTTGCCATGTACAAGATAAGTGAAGTCATTAAAGAACTCGGTCGTCGACGATTCGAACCGCTCTGCGCTGGATGCGGTCAAGTGGAAGGAGCTGGACACTGGGGTGCCCCGGCCCAGAGATGAGAACAGTATTCCATGTGGGGCCGA